CATTTATATAATTCTTTATGTGCTACTAGAACGCCAACGTCACGTCGCCGTCTACCGGATAGCCAACACAAGTCAGCACTAATCCTTTTTGCAGATCGGTATCCGTCAGCACTTCATTATAAGACAGCCACACCTTACCGGTCGTACATTGTGCCACACAACTGGAGCATCGGCCAGCCTGGCAGCTATAAGGGATAGGTATGCCTGCTTTTCGGGCTGCTGACAGAATGGTATCGGGATATTGTACTGCCAGGCTAAATGTCTTATTTTCTAAATGGATGCTTACCAGGTGTTTCCGGGTATCCGGAGGTGTCTGGGGTACCGGCAGCCGTTCATTTACAAAAACCTCTTTCCTGATCTGGATATTGGGGATTCCGTTTTCTTCCAGCAAAAGCGCGATCACCCATCTGTAATCAGTAGGCCCGCAGATATAAAAGAGGCAATCAGATACCGGATAACTATTTTTTAATTCTTTTATAAAGGAAGCCAGAAAAGGACGACCGATGCGCGCCCGCATCAGGTTTTTATGGTCGCTGAATAACCATTCAATAGTCAGCCGGCCTTCAAACTGCACCTCCAGTTTCCTAAGCTCCATGTAGAAGACCGTATCCTGCACCGACTTGTTGCTGTACACGAGGATCACCCGTAACGCGGCATGACCAAATAATGCAGTTTTAAGCATCGAGTATAATGGCGTAATACCAATACCGGCCGCAAACAAGACAATACAGCGGGTGCCTGTCTGGAATGGAGGTAGGGTAAACATTCCGGCAATGCTGGTCGCCGTCAGCTCATCACCGACCACCGCCTTGTCAATTAACCACCGCGAAAAAATGCCATTGGGAATTCTTTTTAGCGTGATGGCCGCCGCTTCATGGAGTACCGGACTACTTGAAAATGAATAAGAACGACGCTCTTCGCCGCCCGGCATTGGGAAGGAAAGTGTGATAAACTGGCCGGCTTCATAGCTTAACGGGTTACCATTTAAAGGCTGCAACGTAAAGGTTTTGACCCCGGGTGCTTCTTCAACTATATTAAGGATACTTAGTTTCAAACTGTTGCGACTATTTGTTTGAAGGAATGCCATAAAGATAGGTTTCTTCAGCTACAATACTTTCCGGAGTTATGTAAATAAGATCAGCTCTGTTCTACGGTAATCAGTAGGTTGAAGTGCCTTTTTCTGTTGTAACAAATAGTATGAGCGCGATCATACTGTATCTAATGCTGCGTGAATATTGATTTTGATATTATTAGATAAGCTGCTTTTTTGATGTCTGATAATATTTTTCATGTTAAATGTTTTAAATGCATTGAGTTATTAAACTGTATCCGGCATATAATCAATAACACGATCGATATTTTGGTAGGGAAATCCCCCTAAAAATAGGGGGATTTCTTACTTAACAATCTGGTATCGGCGGAATATTTCTAATAAATAGCTTTGCAAGTGAGCTACAATCCCGATCGTCTTTAAGTTTCATCCGTTGTTGTAAATCAACTCATTCAACGAGGTTGTAGCAGTGGCTTTTTCGGTTCGATTTTTATGTTATTAATATTTTGTGTATATGGAAATGTCGTCGATGCCCCCGGGCTTTTCATTGAAAGGTTATCTTGATGAATTAGGCAATTTGCGTGATAAATTGCAGCAGGTATTACACCAGCATCAATTATTATTGTCAGAACACAGGTTGTTGAAGCAAAGAGTGGATGAATTAACAGACAATCCGGATTCAATAAATGATTCGCCGCGTACAGAAGAAGGAAGATTAATGCTGGAAAGTATGATTAGTGTATTAAGCGACGTTGGCCGCCCCATGCTGGCGAAGGAAATAGGCGAAAT